AGATGATTTATTCTGATAAAGCTTCAAGCTACAAGAAACATTTCTCTTTAACTCTAAATTGTATTTAATAAAGCAATTATTCGACATGATGAGTCAATATATTTTTTGGTCAATATGATGTCAATAAGGGAAAATCACAATTCAAAGTTGTACCCAATTTAATGTATTCAAATGTCTCTCTTTGTGACAGTACAAAACCCAACTACAGTATTCAGTATACAGTAAAACATCTATATTTCTGATACTTCATATAAAAGACTAACACTTCATAATGATAGGCATTGTTGTCTTACGGAAAATGAGTTTTTTGATTATAAAAATTGTTGCAAATAATTTCTGTCACTAACTTATTGATTCATTTACTATTTATTTTCATTTTTGGGGTACTTAAAGGTGGGGTAGGTCATTTGAAAATACACAGCTGGAAAAAATCTGCCACTTCCTGACAGAGCCCCTTCTCCAACACACACGAACGCGCACATGACCAATGAGGGCACGAGATAACTTTGTGCACAGATGGAAGGCTGACAGGCAGGTAGGCCATCCAATTATTTTAGCCGGGCCGGCTCAGATGATTGGTCTTTTTACAGTACTACGGCTTCCACAGATGACATATTTTTATGGATTTTTTTGTCAAAGCACTTAAGATATTCATTGCTATCGGGATGTTAAGAGCGTTCCATGGAATATAACAAAAAGTGTATCTCGAGCCGGTTTCTCAAACTTACCCTACCTTCAAAGCAAAAAATAAGTAGCCTACATTTAATTATTGGAAAAGGATGAAAAACTCTACTCTAAATGACTATGTGTTCATCCTCCTTAATTATAAATACGTGTGCTCTATTGTCTGTTCATAATTAATTGATCTGTTTTTGGATATGAATTGGGATTGGCAGGAATTAAAACCTTATTTGAGTTTCCCATTTCACTTCAGTCCACTGACCTGTTGAGCACAGTGAGCCATCAGAACTGTCTTTCCTGTGCACGGGCCTCCTGTCACCACTAGGGGGCGCTGCCGCTCACTCTGCTCCACATAGGCTCTGACCTGCAGCAAATACAAATACTCTCCTTTAATGCATGGCACCTTAAAAAGTTGTCTACATCACAATTTCACAGGAAAAATAGACCAAACAGTATCCCCAAAATACATTTAAACTGGTTATAACACGTCATTTACTCATTTGTAAAGTAATTATTTCACTGAGAAGAGATCTCCTCAGCTCTTAATCCTTTACAATGTCAAAGGAAAGATAAAACAGAAGTGTCTATATCTACACAATAAGTATATACAAAGACAATATGTTAATGCTGCTTTTTGTGTTTAGAAAACAGATAAAGACCTCCTCCTGACCTCTTCCTCCTCAGGCCGAATGACATTATATAACCTCGACAGCGAGTCACACAGCTCCTGCTGCTCGGCCTGCTCTCTAGCCAAAGCATCGCTGTGCTGAGAGCCATCGCTGCTGTGTGAGATGTTCCAGCTGTCAATCAAACCCACAAGGTCGCAGTACACCTGTTGGCACAGAGACTCGGCATAGCCCCGCCTCCTGGCTGTCGTGTAACCATATCGACGGTCACACTCTGTGGCCGTGGTGTAGACCAGAAGCTGGGAGGAACCGATGAGACCAGGCAGGAAGTGGTCACAAAGCTCTGAGAACAGTTGTCCATCAGTGGGTGTTGTCCCTAGGTCAAAGGTAGCAGCCTAACAAAAAAGCACAAGGAAAAAGTTATTATTATTAATTTCTGTATTTATTTTCTAGCTTTAATACAGACTCTAATGTATGTACCTTGATAGATATAGACATAGATATTCTAAGCACATCTTGATGCTTTCAATAACACAAGTCATGTTTATCTTTCTCTAAGTACTACTTACTTGAAAGAGGCAGAGAGCACTTTTTTTTGCATGTTCCCCACGTCAACATGTGCATGACTCACATCTCTAACCCTTTTACTTGAATTAAAATGCTTGATGTCTTTGATGTCCTTCTATGGTAGTGGGGATCTATAAGCTTACGTTAACTTTTCCTTTAAACTGTTTGTTATTTAGTTCAGCAAGGCTATGAACATCTCTGGGAGGCCCCACCTGCTCCTTCTGGAAAACAATGGTGATAACATTTGGTTTCTGAAAGGCAAATCTGCCACATGATCAGCAGTTAGAGAAGATGTCTCCTTCCAAAACTTGTAAAATAAGGAAAAAAGCATTTGAAATGTGTGTGGATGAAAGTGCTGTGTTTCTTGCAGAAATGCAGAGACAATAATGACACTCACCTCTGACTGCTGCTGAGGAGGTGACTTCATACAGCTCTTCTTTGTCTCTCCTTTTGCATTGATGACCTTGTGGACGTAAACCAGGCAGCGTCTGATGATCTCATTATCAGGACGGGTGTCCAGAGCAAACCTCAGATCTGCATCGAGGGCTGTAGAGAAGCAGCAAATCACATATTAAATGATATCTCAACATCCAGAAAAACTCCTTCACTGACGTACATTATATCTCACCTGACCTGCAGTAGCTATTGGCTGTCTTTGGGCTCATAACACCGTGTTGAACACACAGACTGACAATAGTCTGAAACACCTTCCTTAACTCTTCCTCTTTAGGAGTCATTGGAGTCTCCTCTTCCTCCTTTGCCTCCACCTCCTGAACAACACACAGATAGGAACAGCCCCAGAGTTTAACAGTTGTAGTAACACATGTTTAGAAAATATAGAAATGTTATTAATCAAGGTAAATGATATCTAAAATATGATCACATACAACACGGTTAGGATGGTATACTGTAGACTGTGTAATGTCATGTGCGCATGTGCTTCAAATGATTGTTCTGCATTCATTGCTCCATTGTAATCCTGCTAGTAATCCCCCCCTTTTTTTTTTTTTAATGAACCAGAAATCTGAATTTAATTGAATCCTAATGAAGACACAAAATGAATCATGTATTTCTGAGGTTGAGTGTGACCACCTGAGGGCAGCAGGTGGGTCTGTGTGGAGGTCTCAGGCAGTAGGAGGGGGGGAGGGTGTTCTCGTCCCTCCGGTACGCCTGCTCCAGCTCCTGGGTGCGGACCCCCGCCCGCTGACCCTCCTGCAGCAGCAGCTGGAAGTCGGACACCTCCACCTGGGTAGGCAGACTTGCTGAGCCATACTGATGCCCTACCAGAGCCTGCAGCGCCACCACATGGACACAGAACGAACAGCATTATGGGATTCCTCTTTCAGCACAGATTCATTCACACTCAAATGGGTGTTTATGGATTTATAAAAGCTCAACAGGGACTGATTTAATGACAGTGTATAATAGTGCCTCATGGCTGTGGTATTACTCAAACTATGATTCAATTACGTTTTATTTTTTAAAACACCAGGATGCTCGAGGGGGACCCAAGATGACTACATTAAATCTGGGGATTTATTTACCAGTAAAAAAGGTCCTGAGGAGCTCTTTCTGCATTCTTCAATCAGCTGCTGTCTGCTGTTTTCCTCTGGCCAACTACTGGAGTCACTGGACTCAAATGGGTCTAACACCTACACACACACACACACACACACACACACACACACACACACACACACACACACACACACACACACGAATAATTAAAACACTCGAGAGGAGAGATGACTGATAATCCGTTTGTGAAAAGCACACAGAGAGGAGCACAATCGGGACAGGTGGTGGCTCAGAAACACATGATACTCTTCCCTTTCTCTAATTACACATGCTGCTGAAAAGAGACGGCACAATGTGCTGGTTGAAGAGCCTGAGGCAATTTCATCGACACATTACGCACCGAGTCGCTTTACAGCTGCTCATCTCTTTACAGCTGCTCATCTCTTTTCCTTGGAAGCTACCAAATAATGTTGCTTTTGTATTCCAATGTTGACATGAAACGATGTCCCTCAGTGTGTTTTACAAGGAGGAGTCTGCAATAGTGCAATAACAATAAGCCAACTGAGAGGAAATATCCTTTTGGGTGCACACTTTTAGAAAACTCATATTTCTGTGTATAATGAGTGTTGATCAGACCATACAAGTTTTACTCAGGACCTTCACCTCTGAATCCATATCAGCTTCATTATGTTCAACATTTTGAGAACAAAACAATTACACAAATGAATGTAAACAATATTCTATGAAGGAATTGTTAATGAAAATTTGAATATCATCAGGTTAGAAAAATCAAACTACCTGGGACACATCACTGAAAACAGTTGATAAATGCAACTTTTGTTTAAAAATTAAAAAACAAGTTAGTTACATTGTTTCCTTTTAGACCACAGCTGAATGTTCCTCCTTCTGTAAAAGCCATCACGACAACACTAATACCTTTGCATCTGAAATACACAACACGCATCACACATACACATTTAGAAAGATAAGTGTGTACTGACCCTGACATCCAGTCCCAGTGTGTGTCTGCAGTGCTCTCTAAGTTTTGGAAACACACTCTCTCTCAGAGCTCTGCGCTCCACCACGCTATCTGTACAGAGCATAAACACAAACAACATCTGATCACAACAACCTTCAGAAACATAACAACACATTCAGGCATTGGTTTCTTTTCATACTGTACCTTCAGGGTTGGAGCACAGATAGAGTTTCACACAGGTGGAATTTGAAGTTGACCAGTCCATTTGTTTTCAGAGAAAGAGTTGGGAAGTTGCTAAAATAAAGCAAATAAAGCTAAAACTTCTGGCATGAACATGTTCAATGGCCCACATAAAAGTGACCAATTGCTGCTTTGCTGCTCTGCGCTGTTGTTTCCCTTCTACTTCCCGCTCCACTCAAGAAACTCTGGCCTCGGGTGTTTATAAAGTGTGTCATCATGATCACACCCACCTCCAGAGACTACACACACACACACACACACACACACACACACACACACACACACACACACACACACACACACACACACACACAATTAGTTACAGGAAGGCAAAACATTACAAACAACCACACAACAGAAATAAAAGAAGTGATCACAAAAACAACTTTCAATATTTTTTTATTAATTAACATTTGTACACAATAAATACAAACTTTATTTTTTTGTACAGCCAATAATAATATGCAGAAAGACTTTTGCACCTGCATATTATTGTCACCATGGCAACAGTCTGAAGAGAGAAGGCCAGTTGCTCCACCACGTCGTTTAAAACAGCAGCTGTGCAGCTGCGCCAAATCGAAGGATGAAACATAAAATAATTATATAATACATAAAAAACAAAAACAGGCTCATAACAAATAATTCAACACTGTAGTGGACCAAAGGGACTGTCAAAAAGGGAACATCATCCTGATCAAAGGGGTAACTGGCAACGGAAGTCATACATTTTGTATTTGATAGAAAGACTGATTGAGCTTTTATTGTGTGAAGTTCTGTGAGAGGCTGCCGTAAAACCAAACATTTCAAACAAAGTTAGAAAACTATTTTAAATGAGAGCTGAAGGAGAAGCTTGACCACAGTCACGAGTCGAAACCAGTTCCTACAACATCAGTGGAGCACTGTAGCTTATTCCAGAAAGCTTAACTTTGTGAGGTGTGGATGCTGCAGAAAATGTTGTTTCTAGTTCCGTCTTGATTTCTGGCATCAGCTTTCTCAATCCAACATAATTCCACTTTGCAAATGGGAAACCAATCAGATTGAGCACAGATCAGAAAGTACCAGAGATTGAATACTGTCCTTTTTTGTTTTGACATATTTCTAGAGCTGTCTCACAACAGGGTACAACTATATCTAATTGTTTCCAGCTGTGAGGAGGTCCCTTTAATAATGTGTTGCAATATGTAGCAATATTGTACATTAACACCACACTGGAAAAGCAAGCAAGCTTAAAGTCCATTCTGTCATTATGAATCTGATGTATTCAATGTGAACGCTCTATCAAACCGCGAGTGTGTAAGTCAAACACAGATCCGATGCTCTCCTCTTTAACAAGCACACGCAAATGGGTCCTCTTTAAGTCCATAAAACCACATTCTCTCAAAGTATCAAACATCACTTACTATGATCATGTCGTTTTTTTCTTCTAAGTTTAGAAAAACACCAAATAACATTTTCCACAATATTCTCTCTGTCTCTTTGGAAGAGTGGAGAATATATATATATATAAAAGAGTCGTCAGTCACACTGAAATAAAAAGCATTCGAGACAGAATCAGAATGAAGAGAAGTACTCTGATTTCTGTATTAAACTGCAGTGATTCATCAGAGTCTTTCCATTCATGCTGATACTGTTTTAAGATACTGCTACTCTCCAGGGAAGGTACAAATAAATAAAAGTGCTACGCTGCCCTTTAGGCAAGGGGTTTTAAAGGCTTGACGGGTATTTAAGGGGGAAGATTGTTTACTTTAAGTAAAAAAAACACAACGGAATTGTACTTAGCTCCATTTGAATGTCGTTTGCTAGTTCTGTCCATTATGGGCAATGTATTTTTTTTTTTTCAATTCCTACCACCTTTTATCAAATACAAATAAAGATGATACCAAGTTGGAAATGTTAAAGGTCCATTTGTTGTTATGGATGTTTTTTCTGCTGTTTCGTAGCACACCAACAGAACAAATAATACCTGTGAATGTATTGCGTGTCAACTAAAGGTTATAGGTGAAGTGATCAGTGTCATACATGAACAAAATCAACATGAGAGGAGGTATGATCTGTAGGGATAAAACCTTTACAGTTCATTCTGTGATTCATAACGCCTGACCTAAACATGATCAGTGTCTATATCATCTCAAAAAATATCTTTGTCACCACACAGAGTGAACGCCAACATGTCTGTGCTTTCGAACACATCATCAGCCTCCTCCTAAACCAACCAGCGATATAAGCCCACTGATGCTCACAGAATGAAAGATATAGCAATGTGTGCGTAATATAATGTAACTTGATTTGTGTATATGATAGCCACCAATTCACACTGACTGCAAATGGACAAAATTGACATTAGAGGAAAGAGGAAGAGAAAGAAAGGAAGGGCGGGAAGAGAGGTGGAGCAGAGAGGAGGATCCAGCCTCCCTTTTCTCTCTTGTTCCTTCATCCCCTTAACCCCTCCTACTCTCGTATCTCTCCTTCATACTGTATTTACAATGCCCTTTCGGTATAAAATGAGGATAAAACTTCCACTACATATCAGACATGGTATTCCATCAGCTCAGTTAGTCTATATGAACATTCCTATGACAACAGTAATGTACTGTACTAATACACATTGAATACGTATGATGATAAGGATTATATATGGTGAGGGAAGGGCTGGCGAGGGGGACACACTGCGTCCACACACCACCCAGTTTCTCTGTCCATTTACTTCAACCCCAACTTCAATCCAAATCATGACACGTTTGGCAAGTTTTATCTCATCAAGCTTACTCTACATTGAGCACAGTGGAAATAATTGTTATTTTATGCTGTCATCGATCCTCAACATGTTGTAGCTGTCTGTGACTTTGCTTCTGATACAATTCCAAATCTTAAAGTTTCATACTTTAGCTAGCTAGCTTTGTTGCAACTTCTTTACTAACATGCTTTAGCTACAGTTAGAAGGGTGTATACTGTGATGTCACAGACACATGAAGTCAACTATTTGGGTTATTCGCTTCAGCTACAGAAGGTGGTTAGCTTTGCTAACAGTGTTGTCATTTAGGCTAGGTAGCCACACAGTCGATCTCTTTTGCTCCAATATAAGCAATTTTCATGTTTTATGAGGAACTTTTAATAACCTTGTATATTTCTTTAAATAATCAATTTTAATTCAGAACTAAGTAAACCTGGCACTTTGTGTTCAGTTCTAAGTTTGATTAGTTTATAACCCTTTACTACATGTTGTCACTTCAGGGCTCTGTAACTTTTCACAGGTTTGATTATTATTTGTAAGCAGTCAGTGAAAAATGGGAGATTTCTCAAATGTAGCAGAATGATCATCCTGTACAGAGAGGTGACCAGTACAATGTCTTGAAGTTAACCTAACAAGATGAAAGAAAAACTTGCCAAACCTATCATTCCCTTTCCCTCCCACCCCCCCCCGTCTCTAAACATTCGTCCTCCTCTTCAGTGTGCTCTGGTCTGCTGTCCGATGAGGTAAAGTTTTAAGGCAAGAATGAAAGGACGGGGGAGGGTTGAGAGGCGCGTGGGGGCGGCTAGAGCTGCACTTCATTAGGAAGCGAATACGTAGATTATTCAATTGGACCCTCTGCCTCCATCCATCTCTGTGCTCTCCTGCTCAACTTGAGTATGAGAGATGTGGAAAGTATGGAGGGTGGGCGTCAGATGTGGTTCAGTTCAGTTTACTTCACATTGTGTTGTTTGAGCTGAATTCAGTTCAGAGCAGTTTAGTTCCCCAGCCTTTAGGATGCGTCTGTCTGTCGTCTGTTTTCATTTCTTTCTGCCAGCCATCTTAACTGTCTGTCACACCAGCGTGATCTCCACCTCCTCCGTCTTCTCACTCTTCTCTTGCGGTCGGCGGGGGTGCTGTTTGGGTGGAGGAGGAGCAGCACGCACCTGCAGGGGTGAAGGAAAACATAATATATGTAAGATGGCCCACTTTCTGTTTATATGAGAAACAGCTTTATGTTCATGCCTGCTCTGAGACACCGTATCTCTCCCAAAAACGTTTAGGGACTTGAAAAAATAAAACTCAGAAGTCTGACTGGAAATAATAATTGGGATTCAGAGTCAGTTAAAAAAACACTTTGACTAATACAGAGCTACTATCCATTACTTTCATTATTGAAAAATTGAAGTAATCTGTAAAATATAACACAATAGAGGCAAATACTATCAGTATCAAAACCCAAAGATAATTAGTTTACTGTCACACAATATACAAATATTGACAGCAAAGTAAAAAAAAAAAGGTACAGAACACTTGAATAATTTTTATACTAACAGGTCGTAGTTTGCTTGGGCCTCCATCAGGGGTAAATCGCAGTGGCTGAGGAAATCCTGGAGACACTGGACTTTTGCCAGAGCTTTGATCTAGAGAGAGAGAGGAGAAATATTTCTTAAACAAAAGATCTCACACTAAAAAGCCACAATGGCCTGTGTGTGTGTGTGTGTGTGTGTGTGTGTGTGTGTGTGTGTGTGTGTGTGTGTGTGTGTGTGTGTGTGTGTGTGTGTGTGTGTGCGTGCGTGTGAGTGTGTGAGTGTGTGTTTGTGTGTGTCTTACTGTTGTTGGGCAGCGGTCCTTTGTTTGACGAGGAGGGCGGAGGAGGCTTGTGCTCCCCGTTAAGTGCGGTTGAAGGTGAGCGTGGGAGAGGCGGCGGGGTGGAGTTTTCTGGACTGGTGAAAGGGCTGATGGGAGGTTGTTCATACAGCGGGAGGGGTGGCAGAGAACATGGCAACTTCTCAGAAGGAGAAATCTGAAGAAAGAGACAGAAATAAAGAAATTCATACATTTGCTGAGAATTGCTGCTTACTTGCGATCCTATTAATATACCCAATGCTCCCTAATCCCTATCGCTACATACATTATATCAAACTGAGAGCACAGACTGGTTAAAGTAAAACATTTTGAAACACAGCCAAAATAATCTTTAAAGAAAATGGCTAAGTAACTAGCTGAAACTGAAAAACAGGACACTGGAAATGGTAATAAGTATTAGGAGAATTATTTTTTCCCAAAATGTCAGTTGAGCCTGATGGTGGTGCTAAAAACACAATTTGTTCATGTAATAAATAAACAGGGCTAATGTGTTTTATTTGTTTAATTATATATCAAGCAGAAAGTTGTTACAGTAAAATGCATTCATTTGGAGTCGTGTTTATGGCAACCTGATAAAAGCTTTAATACTCACTTTATTTTTTACTCTATTGTTGGCCTCCATCAACTCCTGAGGGAAATAAGTTCAGTTAAGTACAGTTATTTTAAAGCCTTTTCATTGAAAAAACAGCACCTACAGATAATGCCAAGCAAGAAGTGAGAGTTGCAGGGTGTTAAACCATAGCAGAATATTTAAAGATGCTAAACGCTCAATATAGATCAGGGAAACAGATACACCCTTATTGGTTTTGTCACTAGAAGCAAACCCTTTCACAACAGTGGTTTAACTTAATACAACAGTATTGATTAAAACAGCTTTTGGTGAAACACCAAAGGAATACCATAAAGAAAACCTTCAAAAAGAAATGCCGGTTAACTATATTGAAGTATGAGCTTCCACTTATTACAACAAATCTGCTTCCGCCGAAGTATTATTCAGTAACTTTGAGATTGTTTTACTTATCTTCCCCACACACCACTTAAACCATGTTTAGAGTTGCTGCGGAGTGTGTTATGTCTACAGTATTTTCGGAAAGGGAGAGGCTGCACAGTATGCTTCCTGTAGCTGAACCTCTAATAGGGCTCTGCCACAGATAACACATCTTCCTGTGATCGCAGTGCAGGATTTTCTCAGAGCGCTCCAGCAACACCGCAGTTCTGATCCACTGTTTGTGAACTCTGCCCTGCTGATAAATCTACTGGACNCCGGTTAGTAAAAACCATGAATTAATGCTTTGACAAGTCTGCAGACAAGACGGCAGGCGAAAAACCTTTTAAAATGTGTGTTTTCTGAATGGAGATCGGCTAAGGCCGATCTCCATTCAGAAAACACACATTTTAAAAGGTTTTTCGCCTGCCGTCTTGTCTGCAGACTTGTCAAAGCATTAATTCATGGTTTTTACTAACCGGTATCAGTATGTTGTTACTTTGGCATCATTTTGAAACATGTATTACAATTAAATCACGGTAAAATATGTTCATTTTGTTGTAGTTGCCAGCGATTCTCTCACTAGTTCAGCCCGGTTGTTGCCCCGGAAAGAACCTCGATTTTGGAGAGCCAGAAAAACTTTGAAAAAGTACTAGCTAGCCGGAACTACGCCTAGTGGAAACGCAACCAAAAACACTTAAACCGCACTCCACGCTTTAGTGGAAACGCACCATTACGGCCCCTACACACGGCGGCGTGCGTTGTCGCTTGCCTGCG